AACAACAGGACATACTGTTTTCTTAACAATTTAAGCAACAGTATTTCATTTTCTCTTATCTACACATACAAGCCAAATGCATAAAACCATATGGAAGCAACAATTTAAAATGGCCATAAAATAAAAGATCCTATTTCACTATTTATACGAGCGCCTGCTTAACTTCATACTTACAAAGTAACTCAGCAAAGTCTAGCTGATGTTTAGCATGTATTGCTCAAACACTTAGCTAAATGGAGTTTTAAAAGTAGTTTATTTTTCCCCTAAACATAGAGCTTTAGCCTGCATACCACTAAATTTCTTTAGAAGTCTTGATAGCATAAAAATCAACAGGCTCTGAGCTTTTGTCTGCCTTTGCTAAAATAAAGGCAAGGAAAAGAAACCCAGACAGTTCCCCTCCCTACCCCCCAAAGAGGTTCTGCTTGAGACAATACCTTTAAGTAATTAGCACAAATCCCAATATTTAACAAAGCAGGACAATTAATTCCTATAACTGACACAAAACAGTTGTGCTGGAACAGAAGGGAACATTGTGACCCACATACACACAATGAAGTTAATTATTAAGCTTTTTTTGACACGAATATTTCTAGAAATAAAAGTACATCAATGGTAAGCAGCTAAGTCGTTAACACTTGCACTGACTGTTCACCTCTGTGGGAGTTTCCAGAAACCCTAGGATACAGTTTATAAAGGGAAAAAAAAATAAATCATTTAGTTAAGCAAACTTCAAATAAACAACACACATCTGGGGAAAATTCAAAATCAGAAGTCCATTTTGCACGCCCAAATCTCAAGACATGGACTAAATTCTAGGTGAAACTTCGGAGTTTCAGTGTCAGAGCACAACGTGAACACGTTGCACAGGCTGGAAAACAATCTTGCTGTTGTCCAGCACGTGGAAATCCTCCATGCCAGGTTCCCCTGAAGTATTTCTTGTCACAATTTAACTTGTACCTGATTTCGTTCACAAGTTAAGCAGTTCTGGCTTCCAAGTTCTACTTGTACCAAATTTGGAGGCTTCCCTTCCCACTCATGGCCTAATTTTTATTTTTTTTTTTAAACAGCTTATTGCTGCACCTCCGCGTCTGGCAAACTGCAAAACCCACAATGTGCAAGACAGGAAAAACCTGCTTTACCACAGCAAAGAATTCGCTAATTAGCTTTAATCCCATTAAATAGAGCAATAGATTTTATAACAATATAAATCATCTACTAACCCTGCTAGATTTTCTACTCTGGGATGATCCATACATGTCTTCCTCATAACCATTGGTCTGTTATGAAAGGAAAGGAGAAGAAAAAAAAAAAAA